TTGATTGGAGGTCTCAAGGAAGGAAGGAAGGAAGGAAGGAAGGAAGGAAGGAAGGAAGGAAGGAAATATAAAAATAAGGAAGGACAAAGGAAAGGAAAGGGGGCCATTAAGTAGGGAAAAGGAGAACTAAGGAACTGTAAGAAAGGACATTAAGATAATGGAATCAGCATTCTTATATCTTTTCTCATATTTATCCAGATCTGAAAAAATACCAAAACCTTTCCAGACCGTGTATGAACCCCTTATCCTTCCCCATAAATTTGTTCATGATCACAACTGGGCTGCAGCAGCAGCAGATGGTTCAGTTTTGTCTGCCTGACAGCGGGCTATACACACTTGCTTGTTGCCAGAATGAGAGCTAACAAATTAGTTATGATGGATTTTGTGCAAACTTATTGACTGCCAGTGAAACTTAGCCATCAGTGAGACTGAATATAAACAACGTGTAAGTATCACATGCGCAGGATTTCAGATGGCTATATTAGACATCACATCAAAGGAAACAGAGGCGGCCTGCTCGGCTGACCCCCCTGTGGTCCTGAACAATGCGAATGGCTGGGGAGCCCGCTGCTCTGCGGCTGCAGCAGAGCTTGGCTTGAGTCGGCCTTGGAACTCAGCTCTGTTTCCCTCTGATTACCTGAGAAAAGATTGGCAGTTCTTTCAAAGAGATGTAAGAGAGCACTTTAAATCCCCTTATCTCAGCAAAACAAGAAAGAGAGAGAGGGGGGGGTGGAGGGAAGAGAGCGAGCAAGAGAGAGAGAAAACATAACGTTCGGACATCTGCCAAAAAGCACAGGCCCCATTTTGTAAATTGCTCCTCTCTGCTAAGATAGAGGCCTTAGAGGTCAAAAGCCTGCTGCAGGACACAGAAATCACATGAAAACGTGAGGCTGTAGCTGGATGTCGAACCAAAGCAAAACCTTAACAATAAAAATACAAAAGACAAATAAGACAGACGCTGTCAGCAGAAAATGGAAGACCAGTTCAAGGTGTTTTATTGTTTCTTTGGGCAGTGGAGCTGCAGCACTCCCTGTGTTTTCCTTTACCTCTATAAGACAGGTCAAGACTAATTTCTCCCCAACAGCTATTTCACTGCGCTACGTCAGATGCAAGGCATGTCTGATTCAGAGCCAGATAAAAGTTGCTCATCTTTGCATGAAGCCACAGTATACTTCAGCTTACTAGGCTTTTGTTCCTGTAGTTATTAACCCAATGCAGCATTTTTAACACCCCAAACAGCTAATGCCATCACTGCCTGTTTTCACTGCAGAACACATGCGTTAGAGCCTTTAAGTTACCATTACTTCTATGCAGAAGATACTTACTTTAACCGGTCTACTAACTACCTCTTCCCTGTTCTTGTGTCTGTTTCAATTAAAGCAGAAACTTCTCAGAATTCATCACAACACTTTAATGAAAATGCTCATGGACTGCATGATCCCCCTTCCCCTGCCATGGCAGACCCGTGTAATTGCTTCCACATTTTCTGACTAAACAGCTGTTAGTATTTTCCTGCAGGTCGAAAATCTTAATGCTAACCCTAATAGTGTCCTCCAGATTTGACTTGCTGTTTTTGCACAGAAGAGTGCATAATTGCAAATATAGCAGGAGTAAAATGTGAACGTTTAGCTACAAAGGGCTATACATTCAAGTGTCCTTTGTTTAATGGAAATGCATATTCACAACTAAACTACACAACTGTGCAAAACTAGAATCTTCCTTTCGCAAATAGCAGATAATTATACTGATAGGTTTAAACTGATAGGGAATGTTTGCACATGTCCATGTTAAAGCCAAAAAATATGTATTTTTTTCACACATTTTGTACAAAATATCAATGCAAAGTAATGCAGATATAACAAATGGAAGGGAGTTCTCCATAAATGTATTTTGCACTGCACATTTTCATCCTTTCTGAGTGTCTGAATGAAAAACAATTTAAATGAAAGAAGGATATAAGAGCTTTTGAGTTTCCTCACAAACCATTGAAGGGACAAAATGACCATGTTAAAGAGGGAGCTCTAGTTATATGAAAATAACAATGAGCGTTTTAGCACTCATGTAAAATATAAGAGGTTAAAAAAACTAACAGCACAGAAGCATAAACATTTCAAATTCTCTTGGTAAAACATGGTGCACAATCATTTAATAGGGATGCTGCTTTTCAGCAGATTTAGAGAAGTTATCCTGAAAGGAAACCTGCTTGAGGCTGCAAAACACTTTTAGGTCAGGGCAGAGGTTGACCTTCAGCAGCCCTAACGATACAGCAGAGCTACAAAAGAATGGCTCAGTTCGGTTCAATACTTTAGCAAGGCTTAGTCAGAGTCTAGACTTCAATCCAAGTGCAAATCCATGGCAATACTTACACATGTTGCATACTCAGCATAAAACAAGCTCATGCTCTTGAAGCAGCAACAGAAAAGAAAAAAGTTTGGTTCTCCTCCAAGTATTTATACTTTGTGAGAAGATCATCTGCTGATCTTACAGAATTACGTCACAATCGCTGGAAAAACACAACAGCAGCACAATGGTGGAGGAGGCAGTTTTTTGATTAATTATGATGAGGAAAGCATTATATAAATGCAATATATATATCTTGCATAACAGATCACTGTATGGATTGTCATCCTCTTCCTTTCTTCATCCAAATCCTAACCAATTGGACAGCTATTCTGGGACACTTTGTTCTGCCCTGATATGTTGAGAACACAGCAGAGAGAACAACCAAGACGAGCCTACATGAACAAAATTTTATTTTTTTTTCTGTGGTTGTGAGGAAAATCTTCTCTATTCTCTTGGGAGTATGTGGCAAGATTTAAGAATGTATATTTGGAGACACTCTTCATCCAATCTGTATGAGTTTGAGCTATTGAGTCTATTGAGACTGTAAAAAAATGCCTTTAGCTGACAGAGAAACCCACTTAGAACAGTAATTATACCAAAATTGTAAAAAATACATACAAACATTTTGAATTTAGGATAAAAAATATTTACATCTGTCAGTATGCTCTATTCAGAACTCCTCAAGTGGAAAAGTTTTAGTTTTACCTGGTTTAAATTCGTAAAAAAAAACTTCTTTAAGGAGCCTTTGGCTATTTGATTAATTGATTAATCGGAAAAAAAAAAATATTGACAGATTAATCAATTTGCAAAATAATCGTTAGTTGCACCCCTAATGTGTGCAAATGTCACATCCTACATGAAATTTTCCTCCCCACTTTACAATTATGTGCAACTTTGTGTTGGTCTTAATAAATACTCTCATTAAAAAAACATTTAAGCAAGAGTTCTAAACATAAAAAAAACATGGGAGAAAGTTCAGTAAGTATAAGTGCTTTGTAAAAATGTCTGGAGGTATGATTCCCCCCATAAAACCCTGATATCCTAAGGTCCTTACCCTCTGTAGTCCCGTCTATTCCCATGATGCACTTCATGGCACGCATAACCTGCTCTGTTATAGCAGGGGACATGGCTGAGGCGTAGACGGCACTGTGAGAATGGCTGCGCAGATAGTCCACCAGTTCCTGTCACAGATCACAAACAATAAAGAGAGATAAGAACATGTGTTGTTGGAAGGTAAACACTGCATCTTTAATCTCAAATAAATTCTGATAAACTTCCAATTTCAGGGTCTAACACATGGCTTGTAGTTCTACTTCACCACCACTAGAGAGAGCTCCTGTATACTCAACACCTGACAAGTATTTGAAATACCTCAGATCCTTTCTGTGTCATTTGGAGGAAGCTGGCACTGACTAATACAGCTCTGGAACCTTTCCCCCTCCCCAGATCCTAAACTGAGAGGAAACCGTTGACAAAATGAGCCTGAATGAGGATTGTCAGGCTCATTATTCTGAAATGTCAGCAGGAGATTAATTCTGCCAGTGGCTGACAGAGGAAGAAGCAGGATTTCAGCGAATTGACTAGACCCAGGCTCCTGGAGCGGGAAGCAGGCCTACAGCCGTGACGGGCCTCTGCTCAGCAGTGGCGAGCGGCTGAGGGGTGATGACACACAGCCGGAGATGATGTCTGGCCACCATTTGCACTCACCACCATCTGTCCCCACTGGGCGGCGGCGGCGGAGGCTGAGGTTTCCTCGCACACATGGAGGGAAGGGGATTTTAGTGGAAATGTTCAAACGAGGGATCGGAACTGTGGAACAACCTGACATCTGTTTTTGTTTAAGGCAGGAGATTTTCACAGCTTTGTGGTCCCACAGGATTTCAGTGCAACCAAGATAAGTGAGTTAGGAGAACATGTCTGAAATCCATCTCATGCCTGGGGGCACGCAGTGACAACTCGGGGTGTTTCCGAAGCCACACAGTGGTCACAGCAACGGTGTGGCAGGCTTACTCAATAAGCCACAGAGTGGGACTAGTGCCAGAGCTCCTTGCACACGTGCTTTTCAGCCGCTTTCATTTACTTAACATCTATAAGTCAACCAGAGTCCCTGAGTATCAAAATCAAATTCAATACTAACTATGAAAAGAAATTTAATATAAAGAAGGAAACAAAGGAACCTTTAAACTAAGAGGACGCTGTTTCTAAGCCCTATTGCACTTAAATAAAGTCAGAATTAAACTATTTCTAAAAGAACTGAAGGGCCTACGTTGCTTGGCTCATTGTATTTAAACTACTTTTAAGTTATTTTGGTTGTATATTGAAAGATAATGATTGGTTTACGATCTGAAACATTCAAGTGTGACAAAAACAGGAAAAGAAGAAATCTGTAAGTAGGATAAATACTTTTATTTAGACTTTTTAAGTTAAGATCAGGTTTTTCTAAAAGGGTGACTAAATAATGCTCTGTATACTTACTATTAAGGTGAATTATAAGGAGCTTGGGGTGAATTTATTTCTGGTTCTCTCATAAAACAGCTAAAAGATGACTGTTTTCCAGAACACATGTGCAAAGCTTTTTCCTGGTCCACCCGTATCCACTAAACACAGGATTTGGGGCACCTCACCACAACAACAAATATGCTTTCTCTCTTTTTTCCTGCCTTTTCCTTTCAAGAGTTTACAACAGCCAGCTGCCAAACCAAGCAGCACGTTCATACTTCAAACATCATCATGCTTGTTAAAAATCGTCCTGTTAAATCCGGAGCACAGTTCCGATGCGTGCCACAAGAAGGAGCTGGCCTTTGGCCAGCTTTACCTTCTTATTAAGGCAAAGCAGGACTAAGCTAACATAAGGCGGGGAAAGGAAGGGTCCATTTTTAAGAGCCTAATTCCAACAAAATGCCTGTTTCCTTGCTTTTTAATCAACAGCTTTGAAACCATTGTGGTTATGTACTAAAGTGTACTTTTAATAGAGTAAAAATAATGAAAAAGAGCCTGGTTTTCAGCCTATTGGACATTTGTTGAACACATGAGGTCTAAAGAAGGCACTATTATGGAGAATGTAATATTCACCCCCATCTGTTTTGAATACCTGCTTCAAATAATCTTAAAAAATTATAAACATTTACTGAGTCAATTTATCTGTTTTTAAGAACAAATTAGAGATGTGAATGAAAAAAGGGTCAGCTTAGCCATTTGATTCTCTGTAATGAGAATCAAAGGCTATTGGATTGGTTTCACTGTGATTAATTCCATCTAAATTGTAAAATCTATTTAGATCCAGACTAATTTCTGCTTGAGTGAATAATAAGATGTTTACTGCAGTATTTCCAAGCTCTCTGCTTTGTAGGTGGGCCATAAACAGCTGAAACAGTGTGGATGGATGAAATGAGCAGATGAAGGTGGAACAGAGCTCCACAGAAACCTTTCTCCCCGCGATGTAGCCTCCAGCTCCCCCGAAGCTCTTTGTGAATGTCCCCATCATCACGTCCACATCATTCGGGTTCACATTGAACAGCTCGGTGACTCCCCTCCCTGATGGCCCCACTGCACCGATACTGTGGGCTTCGTCCAGGTATAGATAGGCTTTATACTTCTTCTTCAGGGCGATGATTTCAGGCAGCCGTACCACTGAACCCTCCATGCTAATAACACAGAGAATTCAACCAGATGTTAGCTTTATAAACCAAAAAGAAAACTATTTTACTCATAGATCTCGGGGTGTGCGTCAGATGTTATATGCTGTATTTCTAATGGGATATTTGAGTGATTCTTTTTATCAGAGATGGCAGAGGTCACCTTAAATGGTTGGTTTCCTGGAAGAGCCCCAGGTTTAAAGGACAGTCGTTAAAATTTCAACAGGTTTAAGGTTGAGTTTGTAGAAAGGACATTTGAGAAGGTTGATCTGTCTAAATCTAGGTTTGCTGACTGCTAGCCATCTTTTTCTTGGAACATCCATTTGTCTCTGGGTATCAACCGAAAAACCTAGAAGACCAGTGGCACAAGCCATAGTCAAAGCAGCTCAGGGTTATTTAGTTCCTAGTGATAAACTGAGTGGATATCAAGCTAGAAAAGCAGCTTTTCTGTGGGCTTTGTTTTGGTTGTTTTGGGGTTTCCATTACTGGTTTCCATAAACTGGTTGTTTGGTTTAGCAGTGCCAACATGCGGTGTGAGCAGACGCCTGCTCTCTGACGGGAGCTTAATCAGCTGTATTTTGGCAGCACCTTAATAGGGAGAAATAATTGGAGTTAAAAAAGGTAGTGGAGAGGATGACAAGCCACAGATTCTACCACACAAGTAATAAGCTCACAATAATTGTTTGATTTATTTTGCATGTTTTTATTTAAACATATCTCATGTTTTGTTGATTAACCATGCCAGTGCTATGGGAATCTTTCACTAACTAGATTAATTTATAATAAAAACTTAAGAATTCATAATTTTTTACCTAAATTCACTGAAAAAGAATGATATTTGTTCTAGGATTATAACTATAAGCTGCAATTAATGATGTTTGTGTCAGTATTATTAAAATTGAAATTGAAGGGATTGCCTTCGATTCAATGTGTCGTTACAATCAACTGGTTTTCCTTAGATAGAAAACTTTTAATCAATTTGACTGTATGATCTGGTTGAATTGTCACTGTAAAGTTCCTTAAGATGACATGTGCTGTGAACTGGTGCTATATAAATAAACTGAATTGAATTAAAATGTCAGTTTTACCATTTTGATCATTTACATGGCTGGTACAATGGGTTCATCAAAGAATACTGCAGTTACACAACTGGAGGGAATTGCTGTTATGAAATGCACTTTTTGATAAGGACTGATTATGATTATAAAGTAACAGTTTCCTGTAATGGTCCTCTAACTGTAACAGATTTATAGGCTTAATAAAACTTTTATGCTGTTCACCCAGCCCCAATTTAGACATAAGTTGCAACTAATGATTATTTTGCAAATTGATTAATCTGTTGATTATTTTTTTGATTATTTAATTAATAATCAGATAGCCAATGGCTCCTTAAAGAAGATTTTTTTATGAAATTAAACCATGAGAAACTAAAACCTTTCCACTTGAGGAGTCTTGGATAGAGCATATTGAAAGACAAAAAATAACGATTAATCTGATTCATTGTTTCAGCCCTAGACTCATGTTACCATTTCACAATGATAATGATCTCAAACAACCACCAAAACCTGTTTTTTGTTTGATAAAGCATGTTAACTCTAGGCACCTGGAATAGCTCTAGTGTTACTGTAAGTGAATAATTCCTGAACTCTGCTCATATAAGCTAGGTTCAAACCAGGAACCAAACAATTTAGGAGCCCCATAATTCTGATAAGTGGTCAAATATCCAGCCAGAATGACAGCATACCACAAGGATTTTAATGGCAGCTTAAAGTTCATAGTTTTTTTTTTAGGGACATTTATCCAGATATATGTTGAGGTGAGAATATGGTGGAGAATGTTTTTTAATCTTAACAACAGCTTATAGCTTAATTTAAGTCATTGAAAGAAAAAAAAAAAAAAAAAAAAACATGATTTCTGTCCATAATGAGTGGATGGAAATGTTTTACCAGATTGGTAAAGTTTGACCTGCTCGTTTATCAAGAATCCTTCTGCTGGCATTTTTATTCTTTCCTATCATCTTTCTCTAGCTTCCTCCTCCCCTCTGATGGAAACCTTTTAAGGCTACAAATAGACAGAATAAGTAATTATATAGCTGGGGATCTGTAACAATCCTTGACCTGCTATACTTTCTTTGGCTGAGCCTGCAGCTCAAATGATAGAAGACAGAGCTGAACCAGGAGCGTAGTGGACATCAAAGACGAGAGGGATAGAGCTAAAGTCTCCTTATCCATCCGTTTGATGTTCCAGGGAGGTGAAAGATGGAGAACTCATTCTTTCAGAGCTGTACGAAGGACAGACTTTTGCTCTCACAAGTGATTCACACTGCTGACCAAAGGAGTGTAATAAAGTCAAGCAAATTAAGCTTTCTCTTTACTGGACAGTTTCCATATTGAATTTTTTGTCTCTTCTGTAGTGTACTGGATGCTAAGGGTAATAAGCAGGAAAGAAATGAGAAAATACTATGTCAGTATTAAACAGCTGGAGCTGGGGGGATCGGCCAAGTCAATCTCAGAGGCTCCATTTGGCCTTGAATTGAAGCTAATGAGCAGATGGAGAGGGTCACTAAGACTCGGGATAGCTTATCACCAGGAGACACACACACACACACACAATACCTTTTTCCCGGTAATCACACCCTACCCAGCCACACACAGATACACACACCTATCCACCTGCCAGCACACGTACAATCAATTATTCAAACAGTAGGAAGGGAGGCAACTAAGGAAGAGAACATTACATGGGCATCTAAGCTCAGGGTAACCTCAGGTTACAAATAAAGAATTTTTACTGAATCCTGGGAGATCAGGAGAGCAAAACTCTTTTAAACACTTTCCTTAAAAAATATTGATTTGAGTATTCATCAGAGTGAGGATATATTTTCAGTCCTAATATATCAAAAAGAAATGCAGTGTAGCAATATTCTAAGAAATAACCTAAAGAGTGTTTAGTGGGAGCTGACCTGTAGATGCCCTCCACCATAATGAGGATCTTTTTCCAGGGTCTGTGGGTCCGAGGCTGCCCTGAGCAAACGGCTTCTCTTAGCAGCTTCTCCAGACTATGCATGTCTGAAAACACAAAGGCACACACAGGAATAAGAGAGTAAAGACATTGTGATTACAATAAAGCAATAGCATTTCAAAATAGGGCCACAAATTATAAAGCCTAAGAGAGGTGCAAACTAGATCTTTAATATGTCCTATAATGCATTGTAATAGTATTCACACCCTATGTAAAGGTTGGATGATACCATAATGTAACTCTTCACTCTACATGCAAAAACCCATTGTGATAGAAAAGTAACGCTGTCCCTGCAAGCACCACTTCCACAGTGAAACATGATGTTGGCAGCATCATGCTATGAGGATGACTGGAGAAGCAGGTCAGTGTTGATGAGAAAATAGGTGTAGCTAAATACAGAGGAATCTTGAAAGAAAAAATGCTAAAAACTGCAAAAGAGAAAGAGTTTATCCACAGTTGATTTTTCACATTGTTTAAGATTATATTATCAAAAAAAATACTTAAGTTTTAATTATGCAGAAATATTACTATCATTATCTGATTGTATTTTCTGGGTTATACACCTTACATAACATGTATTATAGTTGTCCATACACTATAATGTTATTGTTTAATGGTTTTTGGTTTGGCTTATTTATGTTTTGTATCCCTTTTTCCTACTGTTAAAGGTTCTTACAACTGATTGATTAAAATATTAACCGAGCAGAGGGTCATCTTTCAACAGAACCAACAACAGCCGACATTTAGTCACTTATAACGGAATGGTATATATATATATAATATATATAAAAAACATTTAAAATTCATATTTTAGAATGGCCTAATACAGTAAATATGCAAAATGAAATCTTATTTCAAGAAACTTATACCATTTTTTTGAAGTCTAAGGCTGAGAGAAATATTTCCTAACCTGTGGCTATATATGTGGTTTATGTTGGTTCACCAGAGGGTTAATCACAAATGCAAACCACACATTTTGGGAATTTTGTTTGAAAAAAGTTTAAAGCCATTTATGATTCTTCCTTGAGTTTAAAGTTATTCACTGCCTTATTTTGGTCAATATTAACAAAATATTAGCACTATACACTTTTTTTTTAATGGGTTTTGGGTTTTTGATTATAAATTGTTTGACAGTTTTGGGGTTTTAATACATTTGCAAGGCACTGTATATACCAACAAACCGTAAAGTAGAACAAATTGTGAATATTATAGTATTTTGCTGTGAAGATCAGAGTGTTCATTAGGCAAAAAGACTGACTTCACCCTGAAATAGTCCCTTTTCAGGAACCCTTTTCAACCTGACATGAAAAAACTTTTGCACTCTTGGACATATGAGCTTTCTGGCAGATTTACACACAAACCTAAACTTAGAACAGAAAAACACATTTTTAAGTTTATATTAATGATCCTTACTCATATGTTAACTCTTACAAAATCATCTCCCAGATTTCCTTGTTTTTAATTGTGGAAAAATGTCCTAATTCTTTGCTACGATTCACCAGGTGGCAGTATTCGACCAGCTCTAATTCTCCAGAACCTTTATATTTTAACTCTAACTTCAATCCATCCATGAGCAGCAGCAAAATCCTGCCACAGCCAACAGTCTGTCTAGATTATCGATATTACTGCCTCCTCACAGACGCAGGTTCATTTAGGAGCCAGCAGATGCTCTGCCGCTCCTAATATCCCCTCTTGAAGCCCAACAGAACACAAAGCATCCGGAGCTACTAAAATCTACGCTAAGGAGAGCAGTGATCATTTTACAGTATCACTCTGATTTAGGATAAGCTCCAATCTGATATGAGACATTGTGTCACTAGTTGCTTCATCTTCCTTCCCACTGTACATGCAAACACAGCAGTAAATATCTGGAAATTATTAGTGTTTTCTATGCTTTCTGTTTGTTGAATTTTGCTGATGCTTTTATTGTGCATTAAAAACGTTCAAAACTGCTTTTAAAGAAATAGCAAAAAAGCAAAGACAAAGTTAACAAAACTTCTGACATACAACTTGGATGCAGCTGGTCTGTAACACAGGTTTACCGATGTCTGCTGTATGGAAATTTGGCTCTGTTAAGGATGCAAATCATCACCATCCCAGTGGCTGCATGCAGCCTCCAGAAACTAACATTGAAAAACCATGACTATGTTTTTTCAGAACGTACAAACCTCTTGATAGTAATGCCGCTGCAGGTTTTAAAGCAGGGAGAAGTCTGCTGCTCAGATCCCTGAGGCTTCTTTGCCTTTAGACAGGCCTCAAGGGTCCAATAGGTGGAACTATAACTGACTGAGTTTGCACCTGTCAGGATGCATTTGCTGCTAAAGGACCAGACCATTTTTTTTGTGTTGCGTTTGTGGTAATCCTCAGACAGAAGATGCATTTCCAGGGAAGCCCGTTTCCAGCATGCAGTTTATTTATTTTTCCAAGAAAAAAGACAAAGTAAAAAAACAAACTACATAAAAACATAATCTTGCCTGTTATATTAAAACCATTTCATGTTTTACCAGAAACTTCATCTGCTAGACAAAGACAAAGGAGCACCTAACTGCTAAGAGGAAGCAAAACAAACCAGTTTGGATTTTTTTTTTTTTACAAGTTTGTATTTAGTCCATGTTAATCTAATGAGCTTGGACCCAGAAATCACCTTATAGGTACGCAAAGTCTACCTGCATGTAATTTATCAGAGTATAAGCTCGGCTGTCCTGTGAAGGGAACATTAGTGAACTAACAATATTATAAATAAGAGGAAACACTGCAGAGCGGTCAGGGAAAAAGATGTGGAGAGGTTTAAATCAAGATGAATCAAGTTTAGGACATCTCACAGAATATTACTGAATCTGAAAATGTAAAAACTGCTGCTACACAGCAGGAAACATGCTAGATAGCCGCAGACCTAAAGCCTAAACTGACAGGCTGTACATTAATAAGGGAAGAAGCCGAGAGGTCTGTGGTAACTCTGGAAGAGCTACAGAGCTCTGCAACTTAAGTAGAAAAATGTTGCACCCTATGCAAAGCTCACCTTATTGGTTGTGTGCTCAGTAGTCATCTTTGCAAGGAAGATTAAGAAGGCCTGCTTGCAGTTTGGCATAAACCATGAAGCTGAGACAACAAACATGTGGAAGTAGGTGCTCTGGTTGAGACCAAAATGTCACAATTTTCTCTACAGACCTGATATTCAAGAATTCAAAAATGAGGAGAGCTAAAATTGCACGTGCATTTCTTTTTTGCACGTGCAATAAGTAGGTGTGTTGTTGGTGATCTACAAGTATTGTTCCTGCAAACCGGTTTGGCTCCATGCTGATAAAATTAACAAATTGCCTGCGACACTGGCAGTTTGAGAATGAAAGCAAAACATTAGGTTCTAAACTATGCAACTGGGTGCAATAATTATATCCTCACTGTGTAGATGACACCAATTGACATTTTCTGAGGGGGGGCAGGGGGTTCACACTGCTTTTGGGCAGATCTGACAAACTTGCGGTGAATGACTGGAGATGTTTCTAGCCCTGCCTTTAAGAATATAGTAGATGATCTCTTGTAACAGCAGTGGAAGATTCATTTGAAAATCATAGTATACATTTAAAGTATTAATCAATTTAGATTTAATAAACTAATAACTGATTATACTATATCAGAGGCGTAGCAAGCCGTTTCTCCCTGCCGTGAGTTTTCTAAGAGTCTGACTGTAGGCCAGTGGTTCATTGTGGATGGTTCTGATCTGTAAGGTGCCATGCTTTATTGTTCCCTAGCATCACTACCCTCTCCCAAGCTTGAAATGGTTGATGGTTCAACCACACAAACCATTTCCAGACTAGATATTTTGGGAAAAATCCTCCATGTTTCCATCCCTCTACATTATAGCATGGTAAGTTATCTCCAAAAGGGTTCTCCCTCAGACGTCAGACACACAGAGAGGGCTTTTTGCTAGTTATTAATCCTCCATGGTTTTTCTAAATGTACGATATTTGTGTTAAAAATAAGCCTTTTTGATTCATAACAATTCAGAACCCATTTGTAAGTCCCGCTGCATGATTTTAATGTAAACTTACATGAAATCAATATGGCGTCTTCAACACGTTAAATGCAAAAGTTGTTTTTGTGTTTGGTATCTTTTTCCTTCTGCCTCAAAATTATATAGTTTTATCTTTATCATATACATATGAATAATAACAATTACGTGTAGTTTACGTGTAGTTATGTTTATGATTTTAACATTGTTTTAGAAGGTTTCAAGAGGTATTAAACACTAAAGATTCATTGTACTCTATATACAGTAGCTATATTGTTTTGGATCCTTTTTGCTGCTAGTTAATAAAACCAAATTATCACACTAAACACACTTTTATACGATACAAACATAATAATATCAATCTATAAAGCTGCAAATCTATTTAAAAGAACATACTGTAAAGCAAGCAGAAGAAAAGAACCCAAAGGTGCAACTTGTACTAACTGCAAGCAGAAGCATAAAGCTTTATTTTGACCACATGAATGCAGTTAAAGTCAAAGCAAAGCAAAGTTGGTCTCAGTGATAAACAAGGAATACATTATGATAATAATCATAAACAAGCAATTTAAGAATAATGATAATAAACAAGGAATTTAAAACTCAGTAAACCTGAATAATGTGAAAAGAGAGAGTAGATGAACTTACTGTTGTGTTTGAACACCCGAATTGTAGCTCCTGACAGTCTGGCCCCCAAGATGAGAGATGTGTGATTAAGCTCATCGCTTATTATTAAACAACCCTGAAAAAGGAGCAAAAAGCCACAACTTTAACCAAGAAATGTTTTAAGAGATTTCTTAATTTTTCTGTTTAATGATAAAAAACATGTTCTGTGAAAGAAAATAGCTTGGTTGGATAAAAAGGCCAATAGCTTGTTAAGTCATTCCTATTCTATTTCCCTTTTAAAATCTTAACTGCAATCTTTTACTGTATGTCCAGGAAAACCTGAAACAGAATTACCAGACATCACCCTCCTTTTGGTGTCAGATAAAAAATTTACAAGCTGATCTGTTACAATTTTTGCATAGACATTATGATGCTTCCTTTTCTATAAAACTCAGCATGCAAATTAATTCAGCTGTCCCATGGAATTCTCTGCAGAGCATTAGCATATATAACATCAAAGCTCTGAGTGTTTGACTGCATTAATCGGAATAATCTTGTAAGAGGGGCTGTGTTGACACCGACTCAGTGTCAGATACGCTCAGTATTGCCTGGGGTCAAGCTGGTCCACCAACAGCTGTCACTCTAATGTGACTCTGCCTGCACAGAGAGGCCTGTCCGGGGTCACACCATCCCTGTAGGACTGATCTGGCAGTGAGGGTTGACCCCCAGACGTTATAGGGTTAGCGTCAGAGCTGCAGCCTAAAGGGGCTGCTGCACCTCTTGAGCTGCATAAAATGACCCAGCTCTCATCACTTAAACAGTCAACCCTTCTTTCCCTCCTGTCCACTCGAATAGCAAGAAACTCTTTCTTTATGCTGCCGCTGGTATCTGTCAGTTCTACTTGAAGCAGGCGGGTTTGCCAAGAGGCCAAATTATGGGTAGTTAGACCCTTAAGCAGCGCTCATAACAAAACCTGCCCTAACTTGTCTGAATGCTTAAAAGCAGCCATGAAAGCCCACAACTATCATATTCTGTTCGGTTTAATTATCATTTCAATTAGTTAAGGTGGTCAGGGATATTCTTATACACTTTTCTAAGGTCCTCATTTGCGTGACCATTTTTTTTCCTTTAATCTTTTTTCTGTTGTAAACCGGAATTTCCCCATAAATAAAGGGATTTTCTGTTCTATATCCTTATAGCTGATTATGTTTTATTATATTCATGTAGAATAGATGTAAAAAAAAAATAAATAAATAGAATGAAATTACATTAATGCTACTGTGCTTTGAAATTTGCACACTGATGCAATAGGATTTTCTTAAGTCCCTGAATGCAAAGGTGTGTTTAAATGCATACCTTCCCCACAAGTGCTGGGATATTCATTGAGTTGGTTGCAAAGCCCATCCCAAATATCATGGAGGACTCAACTCCCAGGAAGTCAGCCACAAGTTGTTCTAGCTCCTCATGAATGTGCAAGTTACCTGCAAGAAGGAAATCACACACAAAAAAACATGCATTAATAAGGGCTGCATCTCAGAAAATCATGTGATGCCAAAATAATCGCTAAATATCAACAAAGTTCAAAGTTAATATGAATCAACCATTCCTACTTTATGTTCATTATCTGTCACATCATGATGTTTTGCACCATGTGTGCAAAATGCAAAACTCTATTAGAGTGAGTCTCCTTTCATTAAGCTTTATATTAGCATGCAAAATGTGAGTTCCAGCACTTGAATCACAATAAAGCACAGATATTGCATTTCAAACAAACATTAGCAACATTAACATTTTGCACATTGATATTTCAATTACAATATTAGAGCAATTCATTAGTTCAGGCCCCTTTGTGGATGTTTACATGATCAGACTGCTTTCTTACTGATCTTTCTCTACTCATCCATCCTAACATTTTGACAAACATTAATGTTTCCTCATAAGAAGCAAAAGACCCGACAGCAAACCTTTGGATCAGCACTTGCTCTCTCGAGATTGGATTCAATTCCTATAGATTCATGATGTGACAAACATGGAATTTAGTTTTTTTTCTTTTTTTCACCTGAAGTAATATCAGAGCAGGTCCCGCAAGGTCTAAAATGATTCTGTTGGACAATATGAGGCTGGAACAGTTGGTGATAAACCAATATGGCAGGTGGGGACCAGAATTCATTTTTGTGCTAATGTACCATCTGACATTGTGTTTCTTTCATTCTGTGAACAAAATAAGACATTTTCAGGTATCATTCTGTGCAGCCATCTGTTAAAGAGAAAAAAATGGTAGTCTCAGTGTCGAGATACAGGGCTAAAAGGTCTAGGTAAAACAGACTTTAATTATCTTACAGTGTTATGCTAAAGTATTCAAGTCCATTTAACCTTTTTCAGAGTTTTTCATGTAACAACCACAAAGATTTATGTACGTTTATTGGATTATATGCGACACACCTTCATAAATAAGTGCATAGTTATCCAGTGGAAGTATGGTTCTATTTTTATCCCATTTTGGGAAATGGTGCATTAATTCGATACCCATTATTAGAATCCAAACCTTCAAAAGTAATCCATATAGTGGATATGGTAATCTAATCTCTGTTACGAAAATTATCCCAAATTTAAAGTTCTCTCAGACTTTTTAAATGATAGCGGAATATGTATGAAGTCCCTACGAAGGTACCAAGAGATGGCGATTCAATAAAATGACATACAGGCAACCAAAAGGCCCATGGTCACTTCAAATGAGCTACAAAGGTGAGAGACTCTGTTGATAAGTCAACTAATATTGGTGAACATCATACATCTGACCTTTATTAAAGAGTGTTAAAAGAATATATAATATATAATTATCCACAAGCCATAAAGATTGCATAGTAAACATGTAGAAAACCTGTCTCTGGATGGACCAAACATTCAGCCTACTTGCAAAAACACCATGTGTAGCTGAAAAGTACCACTGCACATCACCCCAACAACAGCCTTTCCTCTAGCATGGAAAGGGAAGCTGGTCTGAGTCAAGAAATAGAGCTAAATATAGAGCTAACCTGGAAGAAAACCTGCCAAGTAAGGCACAAGACCTGGAACTGAGATGGAGGCAAAATTTCCAAAAAGGCAACAATAAAAACTAAAGCCAGTTGCGTCCTTTTCTTTCCATTTCTGAAGCTGTTTTTATTGGTCTATATAGAATCCAAACATGCAGGTCTGTAGCAGAACATGGAGAAGTCCAAGGAGTGTGAATACTTAATAAGCTTGTTCTGCATAAATGATATAAATCGGCTGAAAATGAAATCCAATCTAATATACTTAATATAACAATACTCATAATGCATTGGAACATTTGCAGTAGCAAGTAATGACACAGTTGACATTTTGCAGAGGGAATTAAAAATCAAATGAATAGTAATAACGCAAAATTTCCCAACCTGAACCGTCACATAAATGTGGTGTCTTCATTGCATGCACGCTGCATGCTAATCATTCCTGTCAAAGTCAATACCAGTCATTACAACACGTGGCAGGTATTAAGCGCTCAAGCAGGCAGATGTTTCAGGCAGGCCAGGAAAATGGAAATGTGAGCGATGGGCATAAAACTGTAATGAAATGAACCAGCTCCGTCTTTATGGCGACTCCCATTCAGTGCTTTCCATCAGGCCACGCGCCAAGGTAGATCGATTCTTACATTTCCTCGACCGCTCAAGCACACAGGCTCTGCTGGAACATGCAGCTTCTTAATCAGACTGCACTGGCATTTGCTCTCTTTAAGGAACATTTCCCTTGGTAGTGGCTTTATAGGTGTGCCTGCCTTCTTATTGATATCTTAGCTTCTGTAGCCTTCTTTAGATCTAGATACCCTTAAGGTAAAAGAAAGTGATCATTACATTAAGCTAATCCTGCTCAGTTTTGTTAAGCGCCTTAACACACCTTTGTTTTTTTTTTCTAAAGCTTGGTCTTGTTTTGGTTATGTTAGTAATTATAATCACATTTTATCATAAAAAAAAACAAATATTGAAGCTAAGGATGTCTTTTTGATTGATAACATTTGACAAAAGCTTTTTCAAAGTATTTAAAAGCATAAGAACGCACTAATGATTTCACTAGAATATAATGAATTAGTATTTCTTAAAATATATTTCACAAATAAGTTGCTGGCCACATTTATGGGCACCCATCATAAAGAATGAAGTTTCCTAAGTTTAATTAATCTTTCACTGCAGTACAATCTCTTTGAACTGAATAATCTAACCTTTGCTTTTACTTAATCTATTTAATAATAAAAAAAAAAAAAAAAACATGGTAAGAAACTACTTCTTCAAAACCACTGTCGGCTCCCTTGTCGGTATCCCTCCTGTTAATGTATTGCTCGGCTCCCTTTAGCCAATAAAGATGCACTTAGTCTTCTCCTATAACCTTTCTGAGGCAGTAGCACCCAGATAAGAGATCTTTGACCTTTACGCCATGGATATTTTCTCCCGATCTTCCAAAGGGTCGGGTCCTCTGTTATACTCTGCTCTCCTCAGTTCACCAAACAGGTTTTTAGCAGAATTTAAGGCCAGGGGGACATACAGTAGCTGGAAAACCAAGGTCGATTTTGTGTCTGGGAAACTATTTTTATGATGTTCTAGTAAAACATTTTGGACCTTCTGTTTTGCAAAAGGCACAAATATGACCTTTCATTTTCGTTCAGATTTTTATTTCACTCTTCCTGCTGTTTGAAAGACTTCATGATTCCATGTGTTCCACCAATGTTCCTATAAACTCTGAACCTAACAACAGCATTTTTTAATATATTCCTAATTCATATGAAATATATGTGCTTAAATTAAATTAGTAAAAAAAAAAATAACATACTGGTGTTTAGAAGATTTTTAGAACACATAGTGTACCACTAGCATTTAGTTAAAATAATAATTTCATAAAACAGTGGTCTTTTTATTTATTATTATTATTATTATTTATTATTATTATGCAGCCCTTTTTATTATTATTTATTTTCATTAAAAATTTAACTATGGGTGCACAATATCAGAAAAGCCACTAATTAATGTACTCTAGTCATTATTGCTATGTATATTAAGATTAATAGTATAGAATAGAGTAGAATAGAATAGAAAATCCCTTTATTGTCCCACAATTGGGAAAATATGGTGTTTACAGCAGCAAAAAGATTATAGAAAAAAATGGTCACACAAATATGGACCTTAGAAAAATGTATAAGAATAATATAATAGTGAAGAGTTAAAAGATAAACAATAAAATACTGTACTGTAAAGTGTTTTAACAATATAAAACTGTACATCTGGAGAATAAATAACCAATAAATAGCTATGCATAATGAACATTTTCTGTATCCTTTTCTGTTTAAAATACATAAATGTGCCTAAAATAAAGGTATTTTGCCAACAAGTTCTGTACAAGAACCCTTATACCTCCCTTATTGGTAATAGATGATTCATTTAAATGGTTTACAGGTGAGATAATTTGACAAACAGTAAGTTAATAATTGCAGGATAAAGGGGACCAACCCAACAATGTCAGTTACTGAATGTTTGGTTTGCCTTTACTTAAAGGGCGTGCTTCCCTTGCACTTTGTGTCTTACTTTACACATTAGAGATACTCCCACTGTTTTCCTTAAGCACACATTTTCAATTTGCTTTTGCATTACTTTTGGTAACTCATGGGTTTGATTAAAGTTCACTTGTCTGAATTCGTTGTCTGTTTCCATTAAATATAGGCTGACCAAGACATTGAGTTAAACTTAAATGTTTAATGGAAATCAGATGAACAGAGTAAACTGTGCTTTTTGAAAATCTAGGTATTTTTAGGTTTGTTTGTTTTTAGTAAATTGTTTACAACATGCTTCTAAGATCTAGGATTTTCGGTCCATTACAAATTGCCATGCCTGTGATGGCAACATGACAGCTCTTAAAGAGACGCCAGGGTCTTTAAATATTTATTTTATAGATGGTCTCATGAGAGAAGCGCTTGTTTTTTGCAGAACACGCTCACCAAGACAGCTGAAAGGCCCATTAGAAACCCAGACTAAAACAGTTCAATTTGGAAAAGGAAATAAACATATAAATAAATCAAAGATGTGAATAATGCATAGAGTGGGGGGGGTAAGAGAGTGATGCACTGACAAACATGCTTGTCTTTTTTTTCTGTGTCAAACTGCTGACATCACAGCACACGCTCAGCATGTAAGCCCGCCTCCCTCTGTAAGCCTGCTCTCAGCAGATACATGGCTAACTTGCAGCAGAGGTTTAATACTCCAGAAAAAGGTGCTTTAAGGAAAAAAAAAAAACTTCCCCAATGAGTTCCACCATGTTCACTCCTCAAATGTTTTGACAGAAACACACAGCTGATTGCTAGTCATTAGAGTTCCAAGCAGCGGGGATTGCTATGCCTGAAATGAGCTTCATGCTGCCACTTGAATCTGATCAGAAGATGGGCTGAAGATCAAAAGATAAGACGCCATTCAAAATTCATTAGATCCAACTTTCTGATCCTCTTTATTATAACACATCCATGTATGTTCCACTTGCATCCTGTTTAAAATCCTGAGGGTTTTTAATTATGACAGCTCATCCACAATAACATGACTTCCTGGGTTCCTCTGTGGACCGAAAAGAATCTCTGCTGATTATCACTGCGCATAATTGAAGAAAAGCTGAATAATTCATGCAACATTACCGTTAAACATGCTGATAGTATAATTTAGGCGGGGATGCACCGCTGCTTCTTGGAAAAAGAGAATATGCTCAAAATGGTAAATCTTTACCATAACTCAATTTAGAAGTGAAATTCATATGATATATAGATTCACTGAACCCAAAGTTATACGACAAAGCATATTTTGTTCACTTTTATGATTAAGGCTCACAGCCAAAGAACACAAATATATTTTAATACTGAAGTATTAAACTAATATAAAGTATCTCCATTTACTGTGCAGTATGTGTACCCAGAACTTGGATGGAGCTCCTTTTGCATGAACTGTTGTATCAGTCACTGTGGCATGGAGGTGATCATCTTGTGCCTCCAATGAGGTGTACAGGAGGCCCAGGCTGAAGGATAGCGGTCCTGTAGTCAGCATAGTTGGTCCTGATGTCTCTCAAACTGTATTTCCTTATGTAAGGCAAGTTTTCCAGAAAACAGTGAAGCATATGGTTGCTAGGAGAATGATCGTTACAGTTATCAGGAAGTACTGCTGTTATTTCTCTCTGTGTCTCCTGCTCCTATTTCTCCATGGTTCTAACCAGCCTGTGTGGGCGTGGCTGCACTAGGTGGCTTCTGATGGATCACGTTTGAATCAAGCTCAACAAGAACACAGATAAGCACAAAGGCTCATTTGGTCTTCATAGAATGGTGATTTTGCTCCACTTTCATGCTGTGTTTTCCTTTGTTTTAGAGATACCCACCCACGTGTCGTTTAAAGCCATTTCTCCTGCAATACCCAACGTAAAGTAGACGACTTATCTCCATACATTTTTTTTATCTGGACACAGCCTTTATGTAGGATCACTAAAACTTACCTGCGGACTCGTCGTCACCAAAACTCCAGTGCGCTCTGCTGAACGAACAGTAGTTCCCTCGATTGTTCGTTGGAACATCATCCCACACCCTCAGCCAAACCTGATGAACCTGTCATGTAAGACAGCTGCTCTTATTCCTGTTCCCTTCCTGGGACACCGCAACGGCTGTTATTCAGTCCTCATCCATATCCCCATAATACTTTGTAAAAAAAAAAAACCTTTATACCTATGACAATGCCGCTTCTCAGAATGATTTCTACCTTTGGTTTAAAAACAAACAAGTTAAACTAACACCAGGTAGTTATGCAGGAAAAAGAAATGGAAATCTCCACTAAGCCTGTCACCAATAAGCATGATGTGATCTAATATATCATGTTCAAAGGTTTTACTGACATTAGACCTGAAAAATTCCAAAGGCTCAAAAGGAATCACTGAGTGTAAGATGGACCTTGGAGCTGCACAATGTCTATAAAACATGTCAATTGATACTGTTGCCCAATTTATCAAAATGATCCTGATTAACATATCTATCTGGCACCATCCATCTAAAGGCATCATGACAGCAAAAATGTATCCAGCGGGGTGAATATATCAATAGCATGTAGGAGTTGCAGGTATTGTACTTGAGATCTGTATATTGTCCTATCAAAGCTTTCAAACAGTGCTACATAAATGGATATTGCAAAGACAGCTTAGACCTGATATGTTGTGCACCTCTGCAGAAGATCAAGAAACTTGAGCAACTTCAATTCTTTGTCTCTTGAATCCTTCTCAAGACTCCGGGGCCTTATTTCCAAGAGTCCCAAGGGACTAAGCAGCAGCATGAAGCACTCAAAAGATTTCCTGGCAGACAGCTGTGCTGACTTGATAAAAACGAAAAGTTGAAACAACCTGGTCCTTTTCCAGCTTAGCCTTGGTAAAAAAAAAAAAAGCTTTTGACATTATCTATGGGGCATGAGTGACTTGAGCACATCATCTACTACACTTTCACATTCTGTACTTATATTTTTGCATCTTGCATCATATTTAAAATTCCAGAGAAACAGACTTTAAGCTGTAAGACATAATCATTAAAAATATGCAAGACATATTAAAGAATATCACTCTGTGTTTTATGAATGTGCATAACCTGTCATTGGTATTTTTGTTTCTTATTATGATGCAACTGTTTGCATGGCAGTGTCCTGTTTCAGACAAATAGGACTGGAAATGCACAAAAGATGCCTCGAAAAAAAAAAAAAAAAGACATGTAAAAATCCCCATTATAATCACACCTTTCCTCCATGTCTTATGTTATGGAAATTTCTTCAATTCTAAATTGAGTTCAAACCAACAAGGGACAAAATGTTTTTTTGTTTTTTTTAAACCCGTTAAACATCAACCGCAAACTTACCAATTTCCTGCCTTGTGCTACAAACCCCAGCTCCGTACCGCTGCAGCTTGTCTGCCACAGTTTTCAGGAAATCTTCGTTGTTTTCAGCGAAACCGAGGTAGTTGTACGAGCCCATGTTGATGACATTGGGTATTGTCTTCCCTGTAAACCTGTGAAGATTTATGTTTGACTCAGTTAGTATGTCATTGTTCTTCCAGCACACACACATGCACAAACACATGACTAACTGCCTCAAAGATTGTGCAACTAAAGATTTACTGATCAGTACTAAGATATGAAATCTTAACAATGCTAGTTTAAATTTGGAGGTAGTTATTGTTCGTATTTCTATATGATTATGATAGCTATACAATCAGCAGAATGAATCCATACTGTAGATACAATCTAATCTGTTATGAATGTGATTACAGTGAGTGAAATCAGAAGTAAAAAAAACAACAAAAAAACAGATAAATTCCAATAATATAACTATGAGTGAATATAACTCAAGTTCATCTGTCCAGTTAAAAAATACCTAAAGTTCTTCTGTAAAAAAAACTCATGCGGTTTTTCAGCTGGCCTACTTTTTCTACTTAGCTACATACCGTTTTTACCAATTCATCACACTGCTCCACCAAAGTCGAGCAGGTTCTCCCATATGTGCTTCTTTCAGTCACATTAAACCTCTTTAAACATGTAACCCACGCTTACCTCTTCACAGATTTAAAATATCCCTTTCCTTCCCTCTGGCTCTGCTCATTTTCATTTTTTAATAATATATTCCCTGACCCTGCTGCGCATCGCAGAGGAATATCCAATATACTATATAAGCATATGATATTTAGCTGATTCTCTCTTGGAGTGAATGTATTTAGAGCATTCCAAAGGAATTCTACATAAATAAAAACACGTTGGAGGGGAAATACAAGATCAGAAACACTCACTAGTTCAACGTCAGTTGAAGAAATGTATTTATTTATTTTCCATACACAGATATGCCTAGAAAGTACATCCAAAGTGATGTTGGAAAATGCAGCCAGAAACATATAAAACATAAGCTGTGGAAGGCTCCTGAAAGTACTTTCTGGCAACTGGTGCCGCAAAAAAACAACACATCTCTTAGGTTATCCACCATATGGTCTCCTCAGAACTCCAAGAATGTTGCAAGCTCAGTAAATTGTGGCATATTTTGAGAAATCTTTGTTCATCCAAAAGTGTAAATCAAATTTGTGCAAAAAAAGATCTAAGTCAGTCATGTTTTATTTCCATAAATTGCAACAAAATAATCATCACTGTTATGTGAAGCTTTTTCTATCATAATACAATTACTATAATATTCAGTGCAGGAGGTTCAGATCACGTTGTGTAACCATCGTGATAAAAAGACATCATGTTCTTTAAGGCTAGAGCCCAGTAGAGATCATTTCTGTTCCAGGGAATCTCTAATTCCTGAATGAGGTCTTAGTGTGGAGTGAGGAGAGCCTCTGAGATGGCTGGGTTACAGTACCTGAATGTCCAGTTGTAGTCATCAGACAACCTTTCCATCAAGTCGAAGACGGGTCCAGGGAGACTGCATATGGGGCGGTTCCAGTTGTCACGTACTCGCATGTATAGGTTTCGAGTGTAAAAGTTTTCAAAATCTTGGTAAAGGGGAGTGAAATCCTGGCAATGAGAAAAAAATAGATTTCCATAATAGTTTAACAACTGTTAGGTTATTCTTTATACATGATGTGCATTGTTATTCTGTTAGCCAGATTAGAAAGATTAGAAGGCCTTCCTTCACATGATGGATGTCAATGTGTGGAGGCCATCTAATCAGGACAGCCTTTGTGTTTTTAAAAATAAACAGGATATGGGCACATCTTGGAGCCGGACTGATAAAGGAGAGCTTTGTGTGATCCTGGGGTAAAGAGGCAAGATGCGTAAAGGTCAAGGCATGGATGGCATGTCAGTTTCTGATATGGACAGTTAAGCATCCACCTGATGCAAAACATGGATTCATGAGTTATAAGAAGGAGGAGATGACCTTGTACGGGGCTCAATCTTTGCAGGACGCTTGCGGACGTTTTTTGAGACCACAGCTGTGCCAACTCCAAGCAATTTCTCTGTCCTGTAACAACCTGACCTGGAATAAACGCTGTTACTTCTTTACGCCCGCTTTATAGTCTTTTTTTTTATATGGTTTTACCCAGTTTGACTTAAGAGTAGTAAATAACTTGCTCCCAGGTAAAGAACCGGTAGGGAAGTTCTGAGGCGCAGCCGCTATCAGGGGGACCTAACTTCCATATAAAACACAACCAATCAGAAAGAGGTTTTCATGAGAGCTTTCTTAATGAACTTTATTATTAAATTAGAATCGATAATCCACTGATGCTTATGCATCAATATTGTTTAAGAAAATGATAAACCTCCTTAAAATGGTAACATCCTGACTTTTTGTGTTATTTTGCCGAGGTTACACTTGAACCCATTTAAAGAAACGGCTCACTCTATTATCAAGAGCGTATTTCCTTAGGTTTGCCTAGCCCAAATAATGAAACATGGTGAAGAACAAAGTATTTTCTAATTTAACCTTCGCTGAAGAGACATAATATGAAATGTGAAGCAAAGTAACAAAGAGCTTGAATCCTCTGAGATTTAATTAGATCTTCAACACATATTCTCTTTGGTGTTCTATTCCACCCATGGCAACGATATACAGAAGAGCAGAGAAACACAAGGGAAGAAGGAAGAGGCACTGCTTAAGGAAAAATGGAAATAATTGCGGGGGTGGGGTGGGGTGGGGGGGTTTGGGCAAAATGTATTGATGGTGTCTTCTAGCTTGGGTGTGTAGTGTGTGTGTAATCCTACAAAATAACTACAGAGAGTGCTGACTGCTTGCTTTTGTTTCTATGTTGTTCCTACCTTCTGTTCCTCTCTTTCCTGTGCAACATGGCATTTCTCCAGGCCCACAGCTCTGAGGAAGTCTCGGAAGTAACCAAACAGGGTGACAATCCCATAACCCAGGTACGTCATGACTGCCACATACATAGGCGGCTGTTCAAACGTGTTGTGGCTGCGCTGGCTGGATCCGATGCCATTTTTCTGTTCAAAGCAAGAATCACATGAGAGCTCTGACAATGCAGATAGGAACACAATGGAATGTAGTAACGTTGAAACAAATAGGATTAAGTTTAATACAATACAAAAACAGAAACGTGGATCATATTTCAACTCACAGGGATGGAGTACAGAATAATACCTCTAATTATTAGACTCATTTTGCAAGAAGCAGCATTAAGGATCTCTGTTCCAAAGATTAGGAATGTATTCTTGAATGTCATGTGAGAGATAACTTAGGTAATTTATTTGGTTTACTTAAATAAACGTAGTTTTCATATTTCCCGTCAGTAATATTTCAGGTAAGACCTCAAAGTGTTGAATGAGGTCATAAACCCAGAATAATAATGTTTACAGAAACTGCCAGAAATTTTTTTCATAGCAAGCAGTTCTTTATCTTCTGTACTCATCAGACTATAATCAGATTACTTTTACAACAATGGTAGACACACCCCTTGTCTTTTTAAAGGAATGCAGATGAATGCAGGAGGGCTTTGCTCAGAGAAATGAAGGCTGGATACTACTATTTCCACAGCTTCTCGTTGGTCTGGTTCTACAGTTGTCGGTCTCATCTAATCAATCTACAGTCTGTTGCTTTAACCCGACATATTTTTTTTTATAATCTCTTTAGGTATGCAGGACAAAAACTGATTGTGTTTAATCAAACATCTCTTCAAAAATCACCTACATGGGTTGACAAAGGGACTGTCACTGAGGCATGGATTGCTGCGGGGATCAAGATGTACCAAGATTTTAAAAGATTAAAGCTGCCAAAATGTTCTTTTATACTTTTTAAATGAGATGCAATAGAAAGTATCACAGCTGGCTGAAGTTTTCTTTAGCAGCATGGAGCACAGAGAACCAAAGCTGCACCTCAGACACCTGTTGCTGTGCAATGCCACACAGCTGCCTCAAGAAAGGCTGCTTGTCTATAGGTTATTTTTTTCAAAACTATTTGTGCATTGTTAGTGTGAATTTGTAGAGAGAGTTGCATTCTAAGTTTTGTATTTATAGAATTAAAAAAAATTCACAAGTACAAAATTACAATGCTATAACATGTGAAGTGAAGAATAAAATAACATCTTTCATAAACATAACATCTCAATTTTTACATTTAGCAGGTTGGAATTGAGGCAGGGTGAACTGGATCAGCTCTATCTACTACGTGCGCGCTTTCAACGAGGGGATACAAGTTCACACAGGAATAACCGACACAAGGCTACATGGCAGTAGGCCATATATGTATTTCTGGTACAGACTGACAGATCAGACAGCGCCCCTGCTGTCCGATCAAGGGTACTACTCACAAGTCACAGATCATTTTTACCAGTGTCACATTTGTGTCAAAAGTGAAAAAGAAGGCGTAACTGGTAAAGCTGAATTTGTGACTTACAGCTGCAGATTCGTGCAGTTGAATTCATTGATTTGTATTTGTTTTAAGGAAATAAATGTATAATTTTTTTTTTTACTGAAGATTTTAATACATGTGTTTATTTTTGCACCATTTGTTTTAGATAAACTGTAACAAAACTGAATGGAAGACATTTTTGATGTGCAACTCACTGGACACAATTTGTGTACTTGAACTCGAGAATTTGAAGAGTCGTACCTTTATTTTGTAATTGTGGCTGATAAAAAAAAAAAAATCTACAATTACAAAACACTAAAGTTACAATGCACAAATAGTTTTGCAACAATAGTTCTGGACCATTTGAAGCAAAACTGAGAATGTAGGAGGTTTTAGATGTGCAACTTGTAGAACAGAATTTGTGTACTTGTGCTTAAAATTTGAACAAGAGTAAAAATATTTTGTACTTGTGAATTTTTTTTTTTTTATTACAAATACAAACCTTAGAATGTAACTCTCTCTACAACTTCAAATTCGCAGTTACAATTCACAAATAATTTTGAAACAAAATAACCTTCATACTTGACTGGTGTTACGTTTCCACAAGAAGAATTCTACTTGGAAATATTTGCAGACATAGTGTGGAATCTAAAGGATGCAGAAGGCATTACTCCTTCTTAGGCAACTCTCTCTAAAACTTCATTAGAAACCAAAAAGCGCAATTTGATTATCTTACACATTTATCTTACAAACAATGTATTTTAACTTAGTGTTAAAACTTGATAACCCACTTCCATTTAGCCTGAAGAAGGAATAATTTGCAGGCTTTATGATCACAAAATATTGTATGATATAGTTCCTGCTGTTTATATTTAATAGTAACTTGGAGTATATACTCAGGCTGAAACAATTAATCAGATTAATTGTGATTAATCAATTATTGAAATAATAGTTAACTAATTGAATAATCGTCTATGTTGTGAAGAGACTGTAAAAAATGCCTTTAGCTGACAGAGCAACACTCATAGAGCAGTACCAACATTGTAAAAAAAAAAAAAATAATAATATATATATATATATATATATATATATATATATATATAAACATTTTGCATTTAAGATAAGAAAACAGAACTCCTCAGCTGGAAAACTTTGAGTCTTATCTGAGCAATGAAAAACTAAAAGATCTCTTTATACCAATGGCTTTAAAATGTGGTACTAAACTGGTTTTATTTGGTTCTTTGTTTGTTAGTGGTAGAACCAAGGTTATCAGTGGGGTTTGGTAATAGAAGCTGTTAGCAATAAAAGTTACTACTATACACTTCTAGATTTTACACTAACACAAAAGACTCATTAAAGCTAATTGTTTGGTCCAGACTGATTTAAAAATGATGCAACCGCTAACAAAAATACAAAATATTATATTGCTTTGCCTTTTTGACTTCCTCATGTACTTCTATGCAAAATGTCAATAAATCATATTTTGTTGTTTTTGTTATTTCATGAAATAAACGCAAAAAATCTAAAGAAGAGTCAAAACATTGTTTAAAATTCTTCCTAAGACCCCTGGAAAAGTACTAAAAATACTTATTTACTGATGTGATTAAAATATAAAGTTTTAGAATCCCTTTTAAATCATTATAAAACGAAAACATTATGGAGGCAATAAAAAAGACACTTTCTAAATGAGTAACCTTGATTAGGTTTTGGAAAATAATATGTTCTAACTAACAATCAAAAATGCAGATAACATCTCAAAATGATTCATTTGTATGTTGAATAAAGGAAAATTGAATTTTCATTTTAGGCTCTGCATAGTTAAAACATGTTAAATATTTTCTAAATTAGCTTTTAATAAACCTAAATTTTTTCTCTGTTCAATAATATGTACACACTATTTCACATTTAAGGAATATTTTTATAAACTTATATTTTACATCTTTAAAGTGGATAGTGGTAGGATGTAAAAGAAGTACAAAAAAAACACTAAAACTCTCTGTATCCTGCATACGTTGTCCCAACAGCATATGCTTCGTTTTTATCTAACCTAACATAATTCAGTCACCATTGTTTGACGGATTGATTGACATTATTGATCTCACAGAGCAGAAATTTACTTTTTACATCGGCGCTTTAGTCAAAAAGAAGAAGAAGGTGCCAAAACGAAGAAAAGGTGCAACAGTGCGTCCACATACACACATATGTGTATATATATATATATATATATATATATATATATATATATATATACATACTAGGG